GAACTGCGTACGTGTAATCTATAACAAGGCGGCGCAACTGGGCCCCTGCTCGCGTCGGCCTTTCGCCGTGTACTGCATAGCTTCCGTCTCTTCTCTCTCCTGCCCCTCCTCCTCCTCCTCCCCCTCCTTCTCCTCCTCCTCCTCCTCCTTCTCATCCTGCCCCTCCTCCTCCTCCTCCTCCTCCTCCTCCTCCTCCGCTTCCTCCTCCTCCTATTCCTCCATCTTTTTTTGTTTACTCCCACCCGCTATGAGTACCTACAGCATGTGCGATGCCATTGGAGCACGGGCAAGGATACAGCTTGAGCCTTTAGGTGAAACACCACTGATCTAGAAGTAAAGACATAGTGAAACTAGGGCAGTTCAGGCGCCGTCATACAAGTCTAACAAGCTTCTGGTAACACCTTGGACAGGAAGGACGAGTAGAATGTATCTCCATGATGTAAGCTTTTGGCGACATTTCCCTGCAATCTGTTCTCCTGCTCGTCCGCGTACGTCCAGTACCATCTCGGGTTCCCCTTGGAAGGGGTCTGTTTGGCCATCTCGAAGAGCATGTGAAACTTGAACACTTGATGCCCCCCTGCACTTTGCCAGAAGTGTAAGAACCGAAGTGTGGACTGCTGGTATTGTCGGACTGCGTCAGGGCTCATACGCCGCGGCTCTCTGTCCATGATGTCATGCACTTTCTGAAGTTCTTGCACGGCGAGTGTAATGACATGTGCATTGTCTCCCAAGTGGCGTTGGTTCTCACGACACAGTTGGCCCAATAGTGGTAGTAAGTTCCTCGTCTGCGCCGCTTTCGCCTTCAGGCGGGGTGGGCCCGCTGGTGTTAACATGCTGTACGTCAGCTTCTGGATGCGGGACACGCTCTTGGGATCAAACTTGCGGCCTTTATAAAAAGCGCTCAGCCTCCGTCTCAAGTGGTTCATGTTATCAACGCGCCTCAATTCCGCCTTCCGTCGCTGGGAGCCAACGAAGTTGTTCTCCACCAGCGTGAATAGAATGAGGCCCGCGACGTATTGTGTGACCCCGAGGTCGATGACATGCATGGCGTCCAGGTGCAGGCCCTCTATCGAAAATCCCTCCACGCTAAAAAGCGGTGTCAAGAAATTGAGG